ATTTTAGTATCTGGGACAAGGTAATTTGGGAGAGCCCTCACGCTAAAATGAAGCTTCTTCAAGTAGGGGCAATCTGGGCATCTGGAGAGATCATGCACTAAAATGGAACATTTCTACTCTTCATGTTTTCATGAAGGTCCTAAGTTAAAGATAGCTAAAATACTAAGCCCAGATTTGTGCTGGTCAGTTTGCTGAATTGAGCTGAGTTTGGTGCAGATACAGAATAATCCTCACAACTAAAAGCCTTTGATGAACTGAACAAGTTGACATATGGCTTATGCAGAGAACAGACCCAACAGACTTCCACAGCCAGAAGCACATTCTCACTTTAGACTTTGTTCTTCAGACCAGCCTCAGGGAAGCCTGAATGATGCCCAGGCCCACTGCTTCTTATGCCATTGGGCTGCCTGGGACTGTGCTGAGGCACTACACATCTGGCAACCATCATGGACAGTAATTAAAAACCTCACAACTTCTACTTTGCAGTTATAATGAAATTTATATGTTGTATCAGTGCTGCTCATCCAGCTCTCCTGGTGGATATAATACAAATACTACTTTTTCTACTACTATTTAAACAGTTACTACATATAGCAGTTGTAAATAGTGCTGGCCTGTTTTCAACCTTATTCACATCTAATAACAACATTAATCCCATTAACTGGTACAGAAGTTCCCCAGCATTGTATCTGTACTACTGGATTCAGGATTACGGTCAGCTATGTGTAAGCAGTTTCTAGGGCTCAGAACTACATAATTTTATTTTTAATATGGCAATATCATACAGAGGTAAAATAAACGTCTATGTTGTGAAATTAGCTGCTACACTGCAGGCACCCTACAGAAGTAAGTGATTACCTCATTTACTAATGACCCATGAGAAACAAACTCCATATGTATGTTGTTTCTTAGCTACCATTCTAGAAAGCGCCTCAATCTGTTAACTCAGCACAGTAAATACCTAATTAAATTAAATCTCCAACAAGCCTGAGAAAAATGTATTGAAAGCACTCTGCTTGATTACAGACATTGGTCTAACATAACAGACCGATTGATTCGGTCAACTTCAAGCTTATTCACTTTGCCCAATTTAATTTGAGAAGAACAATAACTAAATTTTAGTTGGATCTTTTTTTCCCACTCTCTAGGGAAATAATCTGAAGTGACTCTGAGTTCAGGTGGCATACAGGAAGTATTTAATAGGTCAAACAAAACATATATTTTGTTGCAACTGTGGACATAAAATTACATCTGACCTCTGTACCAGGGAAGGTCAGGGAGCAGATCATCTTGATTGTTATTAGAAGAAATATAGAGGATGACTGGGGGATCACACCCAGTCAGCATGGGTTTATGAAAGGCAGGTCCTACCTGACAAACTCCTTTTAAAACCCGATGACCTGACTATTGGACAAGGGAAAGGCTATGGATTTTGTCTATCTGGACCTCCAAAAAGCATTTGACATGGCTCCTCACAAAACTCTCATAAAAAAACCTGGCTGCTCATGGCCTGGATGAGCACACAATCTGTTGGATCAAGCACTGGCTGGACCCAAAGGTCCAAAGGGGTGGTCAATGGAGTCAAATCCAGCTGGGGCCAGTCCCAAGTGGTGTTCCTTAGGGCTCAGTGTTGGGGCTGCTTCTGTTTAACATCCTTATTGATAATCTTGATAACGACATAGAGTGTATTATCAGTAAGTTTGCAGAGGACACCAAGCTGCGTGGGAGTGTTGATCTGCTTGAGGATAGGGAGGCTCTACAGAGAGACTTGGATAGATTGGATCATTGGGCTAATGTTAATGGTCTGGGCTTCAACAAGGCCAAGTGCTGGGTCCTGCACTTGGGCCACAACAATCCTGTGCAACCCTACAGGCTTGGGGAAGTGTGGCTGGAAAGTGTCTGGCAGAAAAGGACCTGGGGGTTCTCATTGACAAGCAGCTGAATATGAGCCAGCAGTGTGCCCAGGTGGCCAAGAAAGCCAATGGCATCCTGGCTTGTATTAGAAGTAGTGTGACCGGGAGAAGTAGAGAGGTGATTGTCCCCCTGTACTCAGCACTGGTGAGGCCACCCCTGGAGTGTCGTGTCCAGTTTTGGGCACCTCAATTCAAGAGAGATATCGAGGTGCTGGAGCGAGTACAGAGGAGGGCCATGATACTGGTGAAGAAGCTTAGAGAATAAATCTTATGAAGAACACTTGAAGGAGCTGGAAATGTTTAGTTTGAGGAACAGGAGGCTGAGGGGAGACCTCACCAGCCTCTGCAACTACCTGAAAGGTCATTGTAGAGAGGTTGGTGCTGGGTTCTTCTCACAGGTAATTAGCAATAGAGCAAGAGGAAATGGCTTCAAGATGCAACAGGGGACGTCTAGACTGGACATTAGGAATTTTTTTTTTTCACAGAGTGGTCAGAAACTGGAATAGGCTGCCCAGGGAGGTGATTGAGTCACCATCCCTGGATGTGTTAAAGAGTCATTTGGATGTGTTGTTGGTGGATATGGTTTAGGGGAGTACTTTGTAGAGTAAGGATGATGGTTTGACTCAGAGATCCCAAGGGTCTTTTTCAACCTTAATAGTTCTATGATTCTATGATTGAAAATGCAAGTATGGTTTCCAGTGGTCTGAAAACAACTTAGGTCAGTAGTGTCCCACTACTGCTATCATCCAACAACTGCTCTAGCCACTTACATGAAATAAGCTGATTACCTCAATTCTGTTTCCACCAGAGATGCTTCCATAACAGAGAGACATCAGTAACAGATGCATCACTCCTGCTAACAGCTGCAACAGACAGGCTAGCAGCTACTACACAAGCATGAGTAACACACTATCCTTTCAGCCCTAGACCCTGCCTATACTAAGGAAACTGCGAATATTCAGTGACATAGCTAGGTACTTGTGTGGCTCCACAAATGCTTGGCAGCCAGACAACACCTACCTGTTCTGTGCATAGATACTAACTCTAGCCTTGGAATTAATGCAGTGGTTATTAACTGGGACAATTAAAAGGACGCTTTTTTAATTTCCTTTGGACACAATGTTGAAGTAACTATCCTGGTTTAAATAGGTATCCCTGCATAGTCATACATTTTATTATACAAACTGAACTTTAATATTTTAAATATCACAATCCTCTTGCCTGTGAGACGTGTCATACATAGTCTGTTTTCTGGCCTAGTATAGCCAGGAATGGCTTTTATTAATCTGTTTTTGCTCCAGTTTTGTCCTGTTTGAACAGCAGTTAGCTCCTATTCTTATTTGCTTTCTCAGCACTTGTAAAGATAAACTAAATTCAGAATTTGCTTTGCAAAGTTGAACAGGACAATCTCTTTAAGTCACTTCTCCAAGTAAGCTGTCCATTTCTCTGACCATCTTCTGTATCTTTTTTCCGACAATTTAAACTGAACCTTTTCAAGCATAAGAGATAAGGACTACATATAACCTTCCAGATAGATCTCACCACTCTTTATACTGCCTTTCCAATTTCTTCTGGAAATAATTTCTGGTACATTGTAGGACTTACGCTGCTATCATGCAACTCTGGCTCAGCCCCTGCGGGCAGAAACACCAATTCTTTCCTTTTTTCTGTCTTTTAATAGAGCACCTCTGGGCTGTCAGCACAAACCTGTTACCCACCTTTTACGCACCTTAATTTGCATTGCATACTTCTCAACAATCTAAAGAATCTTCTATTAATTACATCCTCAAGGCCAATTACTTTTTTCTTTTTTAATATTCTAATACTTATCTGTTTCATCTGTAGTGTCAGTATCTGCATTTGCATAAGCAAATTTCACAAGCAAACACTTGAGTTCTCTGCCTGCTAGTTCCCTCATGCTACAGTCTTGCATTAACTCACTAGGTGCATAAAATCTACTTCTGTTGCTCAAGGAGTAGTGATGCGTCTGGTTAAAAAGAAGTGTTACCACTGTAATACCAGTCCAAAAACTTCAGAACTGAAAATGACTTACAGGTATGGTATACATTAAAACTAAATTTTACAAAGCAAAAGTTGAAGTGGTCTTGCTTTATATTATAGTAGATTACTATTCTTCCCTCATCACACATACATTTTTTGTGTTAAGAGAGGCTAGTTGAGTTTTGCAAAGCTCATTTCTGGCTTCATATCTGAAGATCAAAGTCTCACACAAGTGCAGCCTCATGCTAAGATGATACAGTGTCTACAGAGCAATCTTATTTTAGAAACACAGTATTTGCATAAAAGGTTGATCTGCTGCCTGCAGGTAAAGAGCAACACTTCCAGTAAGTCTATCAAGATACAGTGGTCTAAGTAGGCACTAAAACTGAACACAATCTAAAACTGCCCATTTTAATACCAAAATTATTTCACATCTAGACAAAACTCTGCTAATTTAACAGGGATAAAGTTATTTTTTTAAAAAAAGTAACACATACTGAGGATTCCCTTGGATCTTTCATCTTTTTTGTGAATGTATTTCCAAGATTTTTTTACTTTGGACCCCACACAAAGCATAAGGCCTTTATCTGTCCTTGCAGCACCATAAAATTTAGACAGGGAAGCAGAACATGGATGGGACTACTTGTTGTTAAGTTCTGAGAATTATTACCCACTGACAGGAGTACTGCTCTTTTTCTTCCTCCTAATCACAAATTGAATTTCCATGAAAAACAAGGAAATATTTGTTGTTTATAGGAAAAAAAAAAAGCCTCACAGGAAAATTCACTAAATTAACATCTGCTTTCTCTACAGACAAATTATGTATGCTTCCTTGCTCCTGAGTATCAGGTTTTCTGCTAACACATGATTTCTGCCATCAGACTGCTGTACACCTTGGCTGTTTATCACACACTCTTTTTAATTATGTTCAATTTTGTCCTAGTTCTGTAGTTTGTACAGCTCAGCTTTAGAAACACAAAGCCTTAGAGCCAGTACAGGAATCAAAATTAAAGAGAAGCTTTTTCTGGTAACAAGATTACACAGGCTAGGAGGAAGAAGAAGCCATCATCTATGCAGCAGCCTTACCCTTCTACGCAGTCTGTCTCTTTCTTCACGAATAGCATTCATCGTGGCCTTGGTCCTGTTCAGCTCCTCCTCCTTGCTACACAGCATGGCTGTGAGGCTCTCATTCTCCTCCCGTAAGCCAGCTAGCTCCTTTTCCCATCGAGATCTCTCTTCAGATAGATTTGGATAAAGGTCATGTCCCAATACGCCCTCAATCTCTTCCACAGTCTGCAAAAACACAGTCACCAAAACAAGAAAGCAGCAGAGAAAGAGGATTAAAAACGACTAATGGTGCACAGAAGTATGTAACAGGTAACTGTAGATACTTCTGTGTACATACCCAGCCCCACACCACCATTAGTTTGCTTCGTTTGATAAGTAATATTAAACAGAATTATTCCTTGTTTGAGTTTAACCATTTTATTAAAATATTTCATACTGACCAACACCAAACCAGATGGATGTTTTATATGCAAATAATACATATGTCACCCAATCCCAGTAGTTTAATCTCAGAAACAAATTAATTACTTCTTTCATGATTGAGCACAGGGCTTGATGTTTACGTGCCTGAAAGCAGTGGCCTGTGAATGTGCATGGCATGGGGCCTTTCCTAGTTCTATACCAACTTTAAAAAGTGCAAGGAAAAGAGTGGGAAAATAAAAAAAAACAGACTCCTTTTTCCCATATCCCTGAACATGTTCTTTCCTACAGGTGACAGAGAGACAGAAGAAAGAAAACTTGGCCTTGGCTAGGCTTATACTTGGTAGGCTTACCAGAAGACATGAGAGCCTTTCTAGTGCCTGAAAAAGACTGGACTTCTCTGGGACATATAATCCCACCAGCATTTCTTGCCCCATCGCCTTGCTCCGAACTGTGCCTTGTAGGCACCACTCAGCATGAACGGTATTCAGCAACTTCCAGAGGGTGAAACTAAACCACAGGCATGCACCACCAGCCAGGGAATGCTGCCTGCCTAAACTGACTCTCAGAATGGGCATTCAACATGCTGAAACATAGCACAGCACTCAGCATGTCAGGCAACTTCTGATTCTACAACATATGTTGTGCCTGTGCCAATTTTTTTCATTTTTGGAAGACCTTTGCAACAAGAAAAAGCTTCCAGTTGAATCTCATAAAGCTTCTGAATCTCTCTGAAAGTGGTCTGCATTAAAATGGGAGGCAGAAACATGGAAAATATATTATATGATCTAACTAGCAATCTAGAAAGTCTCATTTCATTAGACAATTCAAGAGCAAGTTATAGCTAAAGCCTATACTTTTAAGTTTAATATGTAAGATAAATAACTCATGTACCAAGGTTAAAATTAATATAGCTGTTTTTTAATTCAAAATGACAGTATTTTTAATAATAACAAAAATTACTAACTGATGTTTGTGTCCTTAATTTGAGAAGGACTAAAACAACCAACTAGAATACACCTGAAAATGACAAACCAAGTTAAAAATACAACTGCTTTTTTACTGCAAGGAATCTTCCTAGTGTTTTCAGCACTGTATGACAGTGAGATACCAGTAAAATTTTATTATTTGTCCATCATAATGACAAGTCAGTTATTTATTATTATTAACACATTAATCTTAAAGAATAAATCTTGGCTACAAGAAGACTCCCTGGGGGAGGAGGGGGGAAGACATTCATACAAAAGGAAATAAACCTATTTTAAATAACTAGTTCAAGACATCATGATGGAAGAAGCAGAGACAAAATTTTTTGCAGTCAGGTTCAGTTTATCCTTTTAAATAATATTTCACGTTTATCCTTTTAAAACATATTCTCTTCCATAAAACTGCAATATGTTTAGAGTAAATAATATAAAACTCCATTGGCAGAGTATACTGTAATTCTGCTTACATATTTGGTAGTAAGCTGAAATTACTATTCTAAAAGAACAATGCCTTGCAACATCTCTGTGAGATGAAAGAAGCTGCAGTTCTCCCTTACATTAGTTTCGCTTGGACCTAGAGGTCTCAAAGTATGACAAGGTATATTACTTCAACACAATGTGAGGATGTTCTGACCAAGCACAGGGCACTGATCTCACAATGTGAAGAAAAGATCTGTAATGGCTGGAGCATCCTCTCTTGATGATGTCAGCTTTATTTCAAACAGTACCTCTTCATTGCTGTCTTCCCTTTTCCCCCCAAAGCTCCTCTCCTCTTTTATGTACTTCTCCTGCTGTTTCCTTAGCTTGGAGAAAAGGAGACTGAGGGGTGACCTCATCAATGTTTACAAATATGTAAGGGGTGAGTGTCAGGGGGACGGAGTTAGGCTTTTCTCAGTGATGACCAGTGATAGGACAAGGGGTAATGGGTGCAAATTGGAGCAGAGGAGGTTCAAGGTGAATATCCGAAAAAAATTTTTTACTGTGAGAGTGACAGAGCACTGGAACAGACTGCCCAGGGAGGTTGTGGAGTCTCCTTCACTGGAGACATTCAAAACCCACCTGGATGCGTTCCTATGTGATGTACTCTAGGTGACCCTGCTCTGGCAGGGGGGTTGGACTAGATGATCTTTCGAGGTCCCTTCCAACCCCTAGGATTCTATGATTCTATGATTTCCTCACCCCTCCTATACCAAGTTCTGCTGCTTCCTCCTTCCTCCTTATTGCCCATACTTCTTGTGTTGCTATTTTTTTAACCTCTCCTTTTCCCTAGCATCTCCTCCTCAGAGCACTCCTGGAGGTGACAAGCCTGAAGCAACACTGAAAGAGTAGCTCATGAGTAGCTCAACACCTAAGAGTTATCTTCAGACAGAGAGGCTGCCGGTATTTCTCCAGACTTCATTGCTACCATCTGCCCACACAAGTGGAAGGTTCAGGCAGTGTCTGCATGAGCATGGGTCTGACAGCCATACTAAGGGCTGCCCTGCAGTCCTTAACAAAGCTGAGGGACCTTCCTGCTTGTTTCTATGCTCCTTCATTTTGTCATGATCAGTATCTTTTTGCTGACTAAACTATTACAGTTCTTCAGTTTGACCACCAGTGTGCCACCATCCTCCGTGGTAAATAAAACATAAATATTGTACATGGATATACCTACAGAAACTACTGGGCTGTTTATTCTTCTGCAAAGCAGTATTACAGAGCAGGTTCATCCAGCATGCTGATGCACAGCAGATAAATTCAGCTATAATTTCACCGATTATAGGACTGAATCATAGAATCATAGAATCTTAGGGGCTGGAAGGGACCTCGAAAGATCATCTAGTCCAACTCTCCTGCCAGAGCAGGGTCACCTAGAGTACATCACACAGGAACGCATCCAGGTGGGTTTTGAATGTCTCCAGTGAAGGAGACTCCACAACCTCCCTGGGCAGTCTGTTCCAGTGCTCTGTCACTCTCACAGTAAAAAATTTTTTCTGGATATTCACCTTGAACCTCCTATGCTCCAATTTACACCCATTACCCCTTGTCCTATCACTGGTCATCACTGAGAAAAGCCTAACTCCATCTCCCTGACACTCACCCCTTACATATTTGTAAACATTGATGAGGTCACCTCTCAGTCTCCTTTTCTCCAAGCTAAAGAGACCCAGCTCCCTCAGCCTTTCCTCAGTAGGGAGATGTTCCACTCCCTTCATCATCTTTGTGGCTCTGCGCTGGACTCTTTCAAGCAGCTCCCTGTCCTTCTTGAACTGAGGGGCCCAGAACTGGACACAATACTCCAGATGCGGCCTCACCAATGCAGAATAGAGGGGGAGGAGAACCTCTCTTGACCTACTAACCACACCCTTTCTAATGCACCCCAGGATGCCATTGGCCTTCTTGGCCACAAGGGCACATTGCTGGCTCATGGTCATCCTCCTGTCTACCAGGACCCCCAGGTCTCTTTCACCTACACTACTCTCCAGCAGTTCAGCCCCCAACCTGTACTGGGACATGGTGTTGTTCTTCCCCAAATGTAAAACTCTGCACTTCCCCTTGTTGAATTTCATCATGTTTCTCCCCGCCCAACTCTCCAACCTATCTAAGTCTCTCTGAATGGCAGCACAGCCTTCTGGTGTGTCAGCCACTCCTCCCAGCTTAGTGTCATCAGCAAACTTGCTGAGGGTACATTCTATACCCTCATCCAGGTCGTTGATGAAGATGTTGAACAACACCGGTCCCAGCACCGACCCTTGTGGGACTCCACTAGTAACACACCTCCAACCAGATTCTACCCCATTGACTACAACTCTCTGACTCCTTCCTTTCAACCAGTTCCTAATCCACCTCACTTCCTGGTCACCAAACCCATACCTGATCAACTTATCCACAAGGATGCTGTGGGAGACGGTGTCAAATGCTTTACTGAAATCAAGATAAACCACATCTACCGCTCTACCATCATCTATCCACCTAGTAATTTCCTCATAGAAGGCTATGAGGTTAGTCAAACATGATTTACCCTTGATAAAACCATGCTGACTGCTCTTGATGACCCCCATGTCCTTGATGTGCCTGGAGATAGTCACAAGAACAAGTTGTTCCATCACCTTTCCAGGGATGGAGGTGAGGCTGACCGGTCTATAGTTACCCGGGTCCTCCTTCTTGCCCTTCTTGTAGACTGGAGTGACATTTGCTATCCTCCAGTCCTCAGGCACCTCACCTGTTGCCCATGATTTACTGAAGATGATGGAGAGTGGCCTAGCAATGACCTCCGCCAGCTCCCTCAGCACCCTTGGGTGCATTCCATCTGGACCCATTGATTTATGGATGTCCAGATTACTCAACTGATCCCTAACCCAATCCTCATCTACCATGTCAAACTCTTCCTCTATCTTGACTTCTTCTGGGGCTATATGAATCTGGGGCTCATAGGGAGACCCTGCAGGAGTGAAGACAGAGGCAAAGAAGGCATTCAGCACCTCTGCCTTCTTTATATCCTCTGTCACCAGGGCTCCCACCTCATTCCTCAATGGGCCAATATTGCCTCTATTGCTAGTTTTGCTAGCTATGTACTTGAAAAAGCCCTTTCTATTATCCTTAACCTGACTTGCAAGGTTAAGTTCCAAGGAGGCCTTAGCTTTCCTAATTGCCTCCCTACATCCTCTGACAACAGTCCTATATTCCTCCCAAGTGACCAGCCCCTCCTTCCATGATCTGTAGATTTTCCTTTTCCACTTAAGTTTGCCCAGTAGTTCCTTCTTTAACCATGCAGGTCTCCTAGCACCCTTACTAGATTTCCTAACCATTGGGACGCTCTGATCCTGTGCTTGCAAGAAGTGGTCCTTGAATGTTGACCAGCTATCTTGAGCCCCTTTATCTTCTAGCACCCTGTCCCATGGGATTTCCCTTAATAGATGATTGAGGAGACCAAAGTTTGCCCTGTGGAAGTCCAGGGTTCTGGTTCTGGTCCTGCTGGGTAATGTTTCGAGCACAGGGCAGCATATCACATTATGGTAATTCCAGTCTTGTCTCTGATGCTGCCATATGTATTCTCTGCAGTAGGTTCCTCAAATGACATGAGATGAAATCAGCAAGTAACAGGTTTAAAAGAAGCAAAAAGCAGCACTTTTTCACAAAGGTATAAATCAACGGTAGAATTTATTCCTACTAGTATTTATGGACAAAATTCTAGAGGGATAAAAAACCACATTAGATACAAACATGGGAAAAAAATCCACTCATGTCTATTAAACACAAAATCATCATCTCAAGAACTTCCTAAACCTGCCCTGCTGGAAGCATCTTTGAACGAAAGAGAGGGACATACTATGTGTGTCCTTTTTGATGAAGCCTTTCTGTTGACATTTGTCACTAGACAGACAGACTTCGGGTTTGACCCAGAGCAGCTGTTTTCATGCTCTAAGTGGTTCATGTTTGGAAATCATGGTTGTTCACTTTTTTTTTAATTGGTAGAGTTTTAGTGGTAGGTGTCTGATGCTGATCTGCTTTGCAAGAGATACAAAGCGTTAACCAGCCTACACTGTGAAAATTTTCTTAAACAAGGGACAATTTGGTAACTGTTCAGCTTATCAGACTATCTGATAAATCTCATTTCAAGGTTTTTTCATTCTTTGTGGGACAGAAACAATTGAGCTAGCTAGAGTCACATGACCTGTATAAAAGAAGAAGAGGAAAAAATAATTAGCAGAGTCAGCATGAAAAGAAACCCAGTGAAATTTAACCATCAAAGCAGAAGGATTCAAAACATTTAAAAGCATTAGTACATCAACAAACAAAAAAGCCAACAGTCAAAGCAAAAGGCAGTCAGATTATTTCAGGTTTCCATTCATGATTCCACTTGCTTTAAATATCTCTCAATTCTCTCAGGGAAA